CCAGAGAGAGGGAGAGGGGGATGGAGAGTGAGAGCGATAGAGAGAGAGGCAGGCACGCCTCGATCAGCATAGCAATTAAAACCAGCAGAGGAGTCTGGTCCTCACCAAAACCGGTTATAACTAGCTCTGTACACACCCCACCACAGAAAACTATTAAAAGAGCTTAGGGAACGGAAAGCGCAACAGCAACTGATACAACTTATGTAATGCAACTTATGCAATGCCCAAACTGACACTGAGGTTAGCTGTGCCTGTGTGTTTGTTTGTTTTCAGGTTTGGGAGGAATTCACCATCCAGCCTAAGGTAATTCACCGATCTTAAGTGATTAAATATTAGCGGGAGCTGAGGATGTGGGAAAGTGGTGGTTTATGGTTTTGGTCGGGGTTGGCAGAAGTGTGTGGATCTTTTAGACCCTCAGTGAAGCTACAGCAGTGAGACCTATCATCAAAAATGTTCATGGTGGAAAACATAGCTGAGAGCAAGCTCTCAACTGCTTTTCGTGACAACATTAGCTGATCACGCCCCTCTCCTCCATCATTTAGAGTTTAAAAGGCTCCAACCATACTTAAAAGAACAATGCTGAAAGACAGAGCTTCAGAAATAAGTGTGTCTGACAAAAGAAAGTGATTGAAACCAAACATGGCACTAAACAGCACTGATATGGTTGAGACTACTCTATGCCTACGCAGAACCCTAGCACTGGCGACCAGACAGTGCTATAGACAGAGTCTAAGGCAGGGTGAGACTAGACCCTGAGGGGTGCGTACAACAGCAGATCCATTAGATTCAATTACATCACCAGCCAACCGTGCTGCTTTGACTGGGGGCAGAGGAGCAGAAAGGCAAAGGCCCTCCAGTTATTACAGCGGGGGGGGGGGGGGGGGGGGGGGGTACAGCCTTAGCCCCCCGAACTGGCCAAAGAACAATGCAGAGGTGTCATTTCAATGTAAACTCTGGATGTGCACAAAAGAAAATCTATAAAATCAAAAAATATTTGTCTTTCCCAGTATTGCTTGCACAACCAGGTGATTCTCGACTATCAGCTTTCATGGAAACATATTATGTAGCGCACAACAAATTGATCTGTGGGTTGAAACCCAAGTTTCAGGCAGGCTTCTCTGAAAGCCCTTTTCTTATCAGGGGCTTTTTACATTTTTACAACCCCTATTAGTCATAGTTAAAAACACCCCGTTACATAACTAATCCAAAATGCTCTCTTTCTTCAACACCAACCCTCAGCTCCCCCCAAAATCCTATATAAAAAGTGCCCTCCTGCTGGCATTTCTCAGTCAACCCTGTAATATTGTGTTTAGCTTTTGCTGTCTTCAGTCACTCCCCAACCAGTTTCCCTGATAACAAGCCTCTATACATTCAGGAAGACACGCCCACAGAACACATATAGTACATACTGTACCATACAGCCAAACTGCTGTGTAAACACTATTCCATAGAGACCCATAGTAAAGAGAGAGTGAGCGAGTTCAAGTTTGAACACATGTTCTTCTGCTCGCCTAAAGTGTACTGTGTGCCCTGGGCCAGTGTTGAACTAGACTCTGTATGGGACCCATACACTGTACATAGAAATACTTATGTAAAGCACTACAGTCAGTGTTCCTTGTTGACATCACGGGCTTAGTAAAACACATTCATTAGCTAAGCCTTTTACGTGACGTGTTACTTTGTACCATGTGCAGTGCACTCTAAATCCCCCAGTTAATACAAAATCCTACAACAGTATTCACAGTAAAAAAAAAAAAAACAGATGGCTAGAAAAGATGCTAAAAATAAAAAACTGTTTAAAAAAGGGGGAAAATAAAAAGCGAATGCGCATTGGCCTGGTTTATCTGGGTACAGAGGCAGACAGACACACAGGCTGGCAGGCAGGCAGAGAGGCAGAGGACAAAATGTTCCAAACGTGAGCCTCAGTAAGCCCTTGCCGAGAAGAAGCAGCAGCCTCATTGTCTACCAGTGGGAGAGGGGTGGAGGAGTGAGGGAGGGAGAATGGAGAGTGGAAGAGTGGAGGGCTCCTGAACCCTGCATCGGACTGCTCGACTAACCGGTGCCCCCGCACATTGACTCGGTACCGGTACCCCCTGTATATAGCCTCGCTATTGTTATTTTTACTGCTGCTCTATAATTATTTGTTACTTTTATTTTTCGGATTATTTTATATTATTTCTTTGTGATTAAAAAAATATATTTATTAAAACTGCATTGTTGGTTAAGGGCTTGTAAGTAAGCATTTCACTGTAAGGTCTACACCTATTGTATTCGGCACGTGACAATAATCAAATAAAATTTGATTTGATTTGAGAGTGCGCAAATGTAGTTTGTGTGTGTGTGAGGGTAGACGACAACAACAGCGATGGAGGATGCCCATGGCAGTGGATGGTGGTACTGGACTGAGATGATGATCTCACTTTCAGTTCAGCATAATCCTCTTGCATTTATTTGAGAGTGTGAAAGGATTAGGATTTAACATAAGTTTAACCCCCCCCTCCTCACTGTAACCCTCCATTAACCCCCTCAACCCTCCATATTCACCCCCTCCAGTTCAGAGCGACAGATTGGACAGTGCAGATATAGAAGCATGGTGGCTAGGAAATATTCCTTAGAAAGGCAGGAACCTAGGAAGAAATCTAGAGAGGAACCCGGCTCTGAGGGGTGGCCAGTCCTCTTCTGGCTGTGCCGGGTGGGATAATGAGAGTACATGGCCATTAAGGACAGATCATTCAAGATCTTCAAACGTTCATAGATCCTCATAGATGACCAGCAGGGTCAAATAATAATCACAGTGGTTATAGAGGGTGCAACAGCACCTCAGGAGTAAATGTCAGTTTGAGTGTGCGCAGATCAAGTATTTGAAAGAAAACTAAAAGGCTACTATTTGAATACTGGTGCCTTTCGCCCAACCACAAAGGCACTGGGAGTCGTCCACTGAGAGATAAGGAGTCTTAATAGTCTCTTAGAAAAACAAGGTGAGGACATCCCCGGCCCAAAGACTGACATGGCACAATGCCCTAAGACGTCCTAAAAGTCCAAATGGCTAAGCCCAAGTGGAATTAATCAGCCTGCCAGGAAATTCCCATACGTCATAATTAACAAAACAGTATTAAGGAAGGAACAAGGTATAGGCTGCAGGGCAATGAGTTCAGGCCAACCTGTGGTGTTGACAAAGTGAACATGGGTGGGGTGTGATGTGAGTGTACCTGACAGGTAGGCAAAGGGCATCTGTTACTCAACTTAGCCCAGGAATAATAGGGCTTGTTTACAGAGAACTGATACCAACTCCCACAGAGGAGGAGGAAGGGGAGGAATGGGTTTGGCTGGGCTGGGTTTGGCTTGGGAAAGGTGAGGAGCCAAGCTGATCTGCTCATCTACAGGCACACAAAGTGCTAAACTAAAGGTCCCTGAGGCGATGATCTGTCAGAGTAGGAGAGTGTTATGAAAGAACGAAAAGTGGGCCAGAGAGAGAGGGGGGAGGGGTGGAGTTTGGACTGGTACTGGCAACCACACAGGGTACACTTTGGCCCTTGGGCAAGTAGCATGGTTTTGATTAAAGCCAGAGAGCAAAACAAATGAGAGAGAAAGAGAGGGAGAGGGGTTGGCTGAATAAGCAGAAAAACAATGAGTCGTAAGAGACCAAGCTAGGGTTCTCTGACATGCAGAGTTACTTGTCTGGACTCTGCACACAGCACTTTGTATTTGAAAACGGCAGACAGCGCGTCAAGGCATTACCAGCCTACCAGTCCCTCTCCTGCTCCTGTGTTGCTGTGCTGACTTTGACTGAACAGAGAGGGGAGGCCAAAGCCTCTGCTGAGTCAAGAACAGTTTACCTCAGATTAAAGTCAATCTGGCAGTGAGGAGAATAGCTCATGTTTGCCCAAGGTAGAAGTGGTCAGAAAGATACTTTTTAGACCTGAATGCCAAAACATTCAGGAGATAGAGGTTCTCAAACTTTCCCATTTTGCATACCCCACCCTACCATGAGACATCACGTCTTCATCACTGAAATAGATAAACGGTTGAGTTTGATAAAAATGTGAAAGCTTACAAACAGGGTTGTCAAACTGTTTTATCGAAGAAAACTGATTTTGGTGTCCCAGCTAAATTGCAGGGGTCTGAAGGGATAGGAAGGCCTAGGTTCATCCTATGAATTCTATTTCTACAATCTAAATGACACCCACCCTGTATTTAAGAGTATGCTGTGTCTCAACCGATGACGGGCACAACACAAACACTTCATTTGATGTAAAATAGGGTCTAAACTACAACATTTGTGAAAATGAGACAAATAAGAGTTTACGCGTTTTAAGATCACTGACGTTAAAACTTACTTTTTTTCAAGAAATCATAGAATAATTTGACAACCCTGTTTGTAAGCTTTCAAATGATAACAAATTCAACTTTTATCTATTTCAGTGATAAAGACATGGACGCCTCACGGTAGCGTGTGGTATGGAAAATGGGTCGACTTCGAGCACCTCTATCTCCTGAACGTTTTGGCATTCAGGTCCAAAAAGTCACTTTCTGACCACTTCCACCATGGGCAAACATTAGGGCCGGGATGATACCAGTATCGCGATACTCGTTAATATCGTGGCAAGGAAAAACAAAACACGAAGCGGATTTAACTTCTTTAGGAAAACAGCCCTAATGTTGTAAATAAACATCATTATGTTGTCATCCAGAGTCACATTTATTTATTTTCCAGGCTATAGCACACAATGTTTTACATACAGCAGGTTTTAAAAGGTCCAAAGAGTTGGGTCTCCTTCGTGGTTTCATAAATATTCAAAAATATTGTGATACTGGTCTCATCACAGCCCTAGCAAACATGTATGAAAGGTCTCGTTCAAATCAAAAGGGGACCAGTCAGAAAGTGATTGAAATCATATGGAACGACCCACATGTGTGGTGTCTCTGTGAGGAGGATGAGGAAAACCTACCTGGTAAAAAAGCAGACCCTTCTCTGACTGGGGAATGGGAGGGGAGCGGTGTCACGCAGCACACGTGACTTGGTCCACCCGCACCTCCAGCTGGAAGGCGTCGGGCCGGTCCTGGGGGTTGACTGCCAGCATGTCCTGCAGCAGCTTCTTCACCCCCTCCGACATGGTGCTGCGTGTCTTCTGCGGGATGTGGAGCACCATCTTGGGGTTCCCCAGGAGCGCCTCACCCACCGGCACAATCTCAGTGCCCTGCCGCACGTAGGTGCCCAGCAGCTCGCGCTTGGACTCAGCGTCGATGAAGGTGATCCGCTCCAGCATGGCCCAGATGATGATGCCCAGGGCAAAGATGTCCGCCTTGGCCGTGTAGTGGCCCTCCCACACCTCGGGCGCCATGAAAAAGTCTGAGCCACAGGCTGACGACAGCCAGAACTTGTTCACGTTCACATTGTTGCCGCTGCCCCCGCCGCCAGCTATGGGATGCTCATCGCCGTCTTTGCCACCGGTGCCCAAGCCTGCGCAGACCTTGCTGAGGCCGAAGTCAGCCACTTTGAGCACAGGCAACCCTGACTTCTGGGAGATGAGGATGTTGTCGGGTTTGAGGTCGCGGTGCACAATGTTGTTCTTGTGCAGGAAGGCCACGGCACTGGTCAGCTGGCGCATGAAGCTCTTGTTGGTGCGCGGATCGGGCCGCCGCGAAAGGATGTACTGGTTGAGGTCCCCGCCCTCGCAGAACTCCATGATGAACCACAGGTAGCACGGCTCCTCCGGGTAGCCCAGAATTCGCTCACCTAGGGAAAGACAAAACAGCATTTAAGGGTGGCAAAACCAATGGAACATCTCTAACCAACAATTTTAGAGGCCGTCATCTTGGCCGTAGACTAAATTTGGATGTTTTAAAGCTCATTTCCTGCAATTCTACACATTTTGCCATGACTTACGCCATGTTTATATGCTATCTGAGTGCCTCAAACATAAAATCAATGGGGGTCCCATGCCATGACATTTTTAGAATTTTAGATTCTGTCTAGTTTTTATTTTGGTGATTGTTAGTTCTCAAAGATGATCTTATTTACAAATATAGAGCTCCATTATCTTTTCTACATACTTTATATCTGGTTTTAGTCGTTTAAGTTTACACTGAAAATGTCCCGATAATTATAATAATTATTGTTAAAAAGTATATATTTTGGAGTGGCGGCAACGACTTAGCACCGGCGGCCTGCCGCTGATAAAATAATATAGGGGTAACACTGCCCCCCCCCCCCCTTCCACATCATGTGCAATGATGGCTATGAAAACAAATGGGACTTGTTTCTCAAATAAACTGTGGCGAGCTATCTACACACATTAAGATAGGGCTGTGTGCAACAGCGCAATCATCAATGCACAGATCTTGTCTAGGGTCTCTGGGACTGTGTCCAAAGAGCACAGCTAATCTGTCTGTGCCCCACAATGTTCGGGCTTAGTAAGGTGAACTGAACTAATGCAAACTAAGGTAGAAATCCCTTATTCAGACAGAGTCAAGGCCAAGTCCCTCTAGTATCCAAAACAGGGGGGGGGGGGGGGGTTGACCATGGGATTTAGGGCTGACCGCATTTAGTCATTAGTCGATCGTTTGGTGATAAGCGGTTGGTCGACCAAGATTTTTTGGGTCGAGCAGTGACAAATACATTTTAAAAAAGATTATGGCACATGAGACATGTCTGATTCACGCCTGTCTGAGTGGACTGTTCCATTGCGGAGGCCGCGGGGTTGGCACACCAGTAGTACATTTACAGTTAATTCCCATAATTTCTAATCTACAATGTTTGTTTGGTTACAGTAATTTCTGTTAATGCATTCAATATTACAGTCTTACCATTGTCATCGTAGGAGTGGACACGTTGTTTGCAGAGCGCACAACCTAGGCTACACTTGTGAGAAATAAAGTTGTTGTTTATTTCATTCCATTTACAAGTTGTCCATTTATTCATTGTCTTTTGTTTGGAGCGCTCCTGTCAATCTTGAGTAAGGACACGCACCTGATTACACATATAGAAGTAGGACTAGTCTACCTGGCCTTCGCGCAAATGTAGGCCTATAAGTGTGCCCATTTGGGGATCTGATACGATTTCTGATTTTCTTAACTCACCATCACTGTGGAGCTTCTCAAAGTAAAAAATGTCTTTGCCTCAAACAGCAAGTAAACAAAGTCTGTTTTTACATCCATTGAGAATGACAATAATTCCTCAACCTATTTGAAAGGGGGAAAAAATGTCATGCTCTGATCTAGTGGAAACATCATAAAATAGGCCTACCTGATTACAAGTCTGTCTGTCTGGAGCTCACTGCCGCGGGAAACTGAGGACCCAGAATATTTTATACAAACTTGTAAGTTTGCTAGCACAAGCTTCGGGCCGGACCAAGTTAATACAATGTTTCAAGTTCTTTGCAGACAGGCCATGCATAGCCAATGTGATTTATAGGATATTTATTTTCATCAGGATATTTTCTACTTGCGGGCTGCAATGTTTTTATTTGTTGGCTTTATGTAGGCTATTTTTACATACAGGCAATGGCAATTGAAATAACTTTGGGATTTGTATCATTTTCATTTCGAATTTTGATTAACCTTACATTGATTTTGAGATATGAAGACTTTATTATACATGAAATTAAACTGTTCCACGAAAATGTGCATATGAAAATCACCACTGGCACGTAGATCAGTAGAAATGGAAGGATAACTTGGCACTCCGAATGAAAAAGGTTGGCGACCGCTGGTGTAGCCTATTACCTGCAACTTCAGGATGGTAATGGCAGAATCTGCAACAGCAAGCAGCAGAGGGCAGCGGGAGCAGGAGGGTCGGGAACAGGTTTCTTTCTTCTGGTTAGGCTATATTGATCTCTAGCTCCCTCTTTAGTAATTTATGTATCTTCATTTTTATTCGCAGTGCTTAATGCATCAGACAAGCTCAGTAGCCTACATATAGTAGATTTTATTAAAACATAGGATGTGTCTATATATGGAAAAATACGTTTTAAAAATGTTGACCAATCGATTGGTCGAAAGAACAGACGACTGTTGGTCAACCAAGATTTTTTTTGTTGGGGACAGCCCTACTGGGATTTAAAGGGGAATGGAAAATGTAGTCCAATAACCCCCTTTATCCTATTGTTTTTCATCACTGCACCGCCTTTAACAAAGTCACACCCCCAGGACTGAACAAAGACTACAGTAGGTCAAGGAGAGAGAGAAGTTTCAAAAATAGGTGCAACTATACTGTCTCATGAACTGTTTTAATATAATAATATAATAATAATAATATAATATGCCATTTAGAAGACGCTTTTATCCAAAGCGACTTACAGTCATGCGTGCATAATTTTTTTTTGTGTATGGGTGGTCCCGGGGATCGAACCCACTACCTTGGCGTTACAAGCGCCGTGCTCTACCAGCTGAGCTACAGAGGACCACCATTGGTTTTAAACCAATATGTCAACCACTTGTTTTGACTTGCTGATATTGTCCATAATAGGCCAATTTTAAGCTCATGCAGTTTATCCGTTTTCTGAAAATCTTAGGATTTTTTATTTGTTGAAAGTCTTTCAGTTTAATAAATGCAGGGAGTAACCTAATTGTGCAGATAAGCAACACACTGCAAGATATAAGACATCAACTAGCTTACTTTATCAACTCAGACAGAAACGCATCCAAAAATGGGATCACTTATCATTCCTGACGCACAAGCCCTGAGCAACACAATGCAGCTTTGTGAGATGGCATTGCAGACAACTCTATAGTACCATATCCCAGTCGCCTAGACCAGGGGTTACCAAACTTTTTCCACTCGGGGGGACCCCCTTCCAGCATTGGGGAACATCCCGTGCCCCACCTGCGCGCGCACGGGCACAAGCACTGTTCATGACACAAACTGTTCACACCCCTCTTGTTGCTGGAAATAATTTTGCAGGTTTAAAGCAATATTTGTGCAAATCTATAAATTTTGCCATGTCTAATTTGTATTGATGTGATATTTGAGTGACAAAAAAAATTACTAAAATATGTAGTTATAAATAGCTCTCTAAGGTATGTAATGACTAACATGACAAGAGGAACTGATGATGTACTACCCAATTTCGAAATTGCACCTTGTGCATTCTACTATTAGTGGTTCCCAAACTACGCCTTGTTTGGGAACCACTGGCCTAGACTACTTATAAGAGTGCTGAAGTGTTCTACCTGAGCATTATTGTCCAACAAACCTTCACAGATAGGATGATCACCATACAGTATATTCATTCTAGGCTTCAGAACACCATGCTCTCAAAGCTGTGCAGAAAGTGACAAATATTGATGATAATATTTAGACTATATAGCCTAGAGAAGCTCCTTTTGTTTTTCAAATGATGGATATTGGCTAAAATGATGTCAAGTTTAATATTTAATTTGTTGGCAAAAGTAATGACCTGAAATGATGACACTTACATAACTAATTATAAAAGAGAGGCAGCAAAGGCAGTACCGAGGCTACAGGCTCTGAACAGTAAGCCTAGAGATTAAAAGCAAGATTCAGCCGTATCTGTGGGCCTCAAAACAACAACAAAAAAACAATCTAATCCTAATTAATATTGGCATATTTCACATTTAGCTCAAATAAGCTTGACTAGGGAAAAAAGGTCAAGTGACGTACATTTAATACTAATAGAAACTATAATAATAATAAAAATAAGAGGCAATAGCTTGGGTTTATACCATTAATTGCAATAAATATTGATTACTTGATTCAGTCACGTATGCAAATTTGCAGCCAACCAGGAAAGGGTTAACTGATGGCCAACTAGAACACTGTGTTCTCAAGTGCTGGGAATAGTACAGTGCCTATAGAGCAGTATGGCAGTTACCCTATAGGTGGCACATGGATATTTCGAAATCTTGTTCCTAAAAACAAATGTATGAGACTGAGCAACCTGGAATTGACTACAAAATCAAGCATTGTGCCCCCCTGTTCCCCTGTGGACGCCCCCGCCAACATACATTTACCCTGCACTCACCCCAATTGACATTTATCATTGCTACAGTTGTTAATATGTATATATTATTATTTCCATTGTTATTATTCTATTATAGTTTTTTTCACTTTGTCCTGCATTGTCAGAGCTCGGAGTTCAAGAATTTCACTCTACCCTGTAATTACATCTGCAACCATGTACATGTGACTATTAAACTCTAATCTAATAACTGCCTATCTATTCTGTTTGCCATTCAAAACAAACAAGCAGCCTTATATAAACAATAGGTAACATAACATGTTACACAATGTTACATTTAGTTAAAAAAAAGTTTGGGTTGATTTCCTTTATCTACCTCGTTTGTATGTGCTGATCAGCAAGTTTGAAAAATGTGCCTCCTTTTTGCAAACAATGGGTGAAATACTGAGTTAGCAGCTAGCTTGCTAAGGAAAAAATTGTTTTGACTGGCCTACTCTGTATTGATCACAGAGCTAGCTAATTTAGCTAGCAAGCCATTTTATCGTTTCAATCTAGCTAGCTAGCTACTAAAGGGTGACGAACCAATCAGGCAGTGGATTTCATCGAGGTAAAAATGAGCTAAGGTACCTTTTAGTGAAGTCTCCACCAACCGCAGGTATTGTTTGGACCTTTTATTTCCATGACTCATTTTCTGGGCCATTCCATTCCTTTGTAACACACATTCCTCGAGCTGCACAACATTCTCGTGCTTCTTCTCCAGGCTTGCCAAGGCCCAGAATTCGGACAGAGCGAGTTCCACATTTTCAGGAGCGTTACACTGGAGTTTTTTAACCGCTACCCTTGCCCCTGTCCTCCGTGCAATTGCCTCGAACACTACCCCATAGCTGCCCCTTCCGACCTCTCGCAACAGACTGTAGCGTGGTGCCATAACCATAACATGCTCCTCGAGGTTCTCGTTCTTACTAAAGTTCATAGAGAAACAGTGCTCCTCCATGGGGACATCTATGTCCACACTGTTGTTCTCTACCACTAGCGACCTCAGGACTTTGCACACCTCTCGTTTCACCTCCCGTTTTGTCTTCATGTTGGCGGTGGCGTTCTGTGCTTCAACCAGCCTTTTGTAAGCCCGCAGACTTCTTGGGGTTGTTATCTTTCGCCTCCTCCCGTTGCGTATATCCATGACTTATTTTTTGTTGAAAACAAGTGTTTAGGAAAAAGATGTGTATCTTTCATTACTTGAGTTAAACTAATGATGATCAAATTGTTATAGATTAACCGTCAGATAACCCTGTCTTACTTCAAATACTGTAAATCTGTTTAGCTGGCTAATTATGCCCTGCTAGATGCCACTCTTTCCACGAATTTTGATTCATAAACAACTGTCTGTACAGCCTCCAATGTATAAAAGGAGGGGGAGGGAGTAGCTTGCTCCGACTGGTCCATCTGAGATAAAGCAGGTAAGATGACAGCGAGTGTATTAGAATTATTCGCTGTTACTCAACATTAAACGTAAACAATGATCATACTAACCCATTATATTACACTTTCTGGATAACTTTTTTAAATCAAATATGTCAGGTAACAATAACATATAAACAATTACACATTGAAGTTAGCGCGGTCCCCCACTGATATGCAAATGAAGGAGAGACAACTATAGTCGTAGTTGGAACATTAGAGCACGTCAGATTTGTTTTTATTTAGGAATCTGAGTATATTCCCACAATAAAACGGATTTATACTCGAATTGCAAGTTTAAAAATACGTTCTCAGAAATTAATATTGCTTATTGCATTTATCTTGTGTATTTGGTCATATTTATTTCTTTCTCGCCATCCCATTGTGCTGATTGTAAACATGGTTTATCAAGTACAGCATGTACTTTCAAGTGTGCTCAAGCTTGGTACTGAGTGCACCTGTATAAGGCATGTCATTGGACTGGGAGGGGTGTGGCACCTAATCAATAATAAAAACAAGTTCATTAATAAATTTCAGAGTTAAACCATTGAATAAACATCTTAATATAGGCCTAATATATTATATAATGCTTATAACACATTTATAGGTTATGTTATTTAAACATGTGTATCATTGTTACATGTCAGATGGCGTTACTCTTCAGCGACGCTTGTCCCTCAACAGATCTGTCTTGTAGGACATGGAACTCATATTCAAATTTAAATATTGAGCATCCTTAATTCAATTTTTGATTAACATAGTTCCTAATTTGTTAAAACACTCCGATCTCGTATGATTCTTCATGAAATAGACACAAGAACTAGCTAGCTAACTTATTACAAACGTTGTGACAGTTATTTAATAGTTTGCAATTGTGAGAAAATAAACACAAACCGGTTGCACAAATTCTGTGCAAGGACGTTGGTCACCCAGTGCAGTGATTTAATCAACTGTGTAGCTAACTGTTGTAGCTAGCTAGCTTACTGACATAGCTAGATAGCTATAGCTCTTCCTTCACTGACATAAGAAGCTTGCTTATTCTGTTTAAATTACCCTGATGTTGTAGACATGCAGCCCCACAATTAAGAGGAACTGACTGTTATCTCAAATCAGTCAGTAGATCAGCATGTTTCTCTGCAATCTTATCATTGGGTCAGCTTAGCACAGCAGCTGACTCAGGAGACTACTGCAGTGACTCGTGACAGAAGAACAGCTGCTTCATGAAAACTCTTTGTAATGTTAGCATTAGCACTACTAGCTACAGTAGCTTGCTAGCTAGCTTTTGTTGGAAGATTCAACATTGTGTGTGCAGCACTAAGTAGGTAGTTGGTTGGTTAGCAGCATTGTTTAAAGGGAAAATCCACCCAAAACCAATCATTCCTTTAATTTACAATGTTAAATAGTACTAATATGTGAGAACAATATTTTTTTGTGAACAAATGTTTCATTTTGGCGTCATAATAAGGTTGGTAGCAATATGGAAAATCGTTTTGGAAATGTTGCAGCTCAAGTCGACTACAAAATCCACAATGCAATGCTCTCTCTATGGGCTGACTAGCTAGGTAGCTACACACAATAATACCAAAGACAATCAGCATGTAACGTAGCTAGTTAGCTGTCAAATTCAATTGATTGGACATGATTCGGAAAGGCACACACCTGTCTATATAAGGTCCCACAGTTAACAGTGTATGTCAGAGCAAAAACCAAGCTATGAGCTCCGAGACAGGATTGTGTCGAGGCACAGATCTGGGGAAGGGTACCAAAACATTTCTGCAGCATTGGTCCCCAAGAACACAGTGGCCTCCATCATTCTTAAATGGAAGAAGTTCGGAACCACCAAGACTCTTCCTAAAGCTGGCCGCCCGGCCAAACTAAGCAATCGGAGGAGAAGGGCCTTGGTCAGGGAGGTGACCAAGAACCCAATGGTCACTCTGACAGAGCTCCAGAGTTCCTCTTTGGAGATGGGAGAACCTTCCAGAAGGACAACCATCTCTGCAGCACTCCACCAATCAGGCCTTTATGGCAGAGTGGCCAGACGAAAGCTACTACTCAGTAAAAGCCACATGACAGCCCGCTTGGAGTTTGCCAAAAGGCACTCTCAGACCACGAGAAACAAGATTCACTGGTCTGATGAAACCAAGATTGAACTATTTGGCCTGAATGCCAAGCATCACGTCTTGAGGAAACCATCCCACCATCCCTACGGTGAAGCATGGTAGTGGCAACATCATGCTGTGGGGATGTTTTTCAGCGGCAGGGACTGGGAGACCAGTCAGGATCGAGTGAAAGATGAACGGAGCAAAGTACAGAGATATCCTTCATGAAAACCTGCTCCAGAGTGCTCAGGACCTCAGACTGGGGCGACCCTAAGCACACAGCCAAGACAACACAGGAGTGGGTTCGGGACAAGTCTCTGAATGTCGTTGAGTGACCCAGCCAGAGCCCGGACTTGAACCTGATCGGACATCTCTGGAGAGACCTGAAAATAGCTGTGCAGCGACTCTCCCCATCCAACCTGACAGAGCTTCAGAGGATCTGCAGAGAAGAATCTGAGAAACTCCCCAGAAACTATTTTTAATACATTTGCAAACATTTCTAAAAACCTGTTTTTGCTTTGTGCAGCGACTCTCCCCATCCAACCTGACAGAGCTGTTTGTGATCCTGCTGCTCTGATTGGATAGAGCGAAGTTGTCGTTCTCCATCCGTTCGCTTCATATTTCACCTGATAACTTCTCATCGCACTTCGTTCAGTTTTCACACACAACAACTGTAGTTTAGACTCTGACTACAACCACACATAGAAAAATATCTGGATAGAACCAAAAAGGGTTATGGCACCCCTAAAGGTTCTATATAGAACCCTTTTGTATGGTTATTTGATCAGAACCTCAGGGTTTATTCTTCACTGAACCTAAATTGGTTCCATATAGGGTTCTATATGGAACCAATTTCTGTTCAATATAGAACCTTATGGGGTACCATATAGGAAGCAAGCATATAACCCTTTATGGTTATTTTCAGAATATTTTTTTCCAAGTGTGAACAACAACACAACTATTTACAACACAACTACTGAACCACACAACTACTGAACACAACCACACAACTACTGGCCACAACTACTGACCACAACCACACAACTACTGACCACATAACTACTGACCACAACAAAACAACTACAGACCATAACTACTGACCACAACTACTGAACACAACTCCTGACCACAACTACTGACCCCAAAACGAATGACCATAACTACTGACCACAAACACAACTCCTGACCACAACCAGACAACTACTGACCACAACAACTGACCACAACACTTCTGACAACTACTGACCACAACTACTGACCACACAACTACTGAACCACCCAACTAATGACTACAACCACACAACTACTGACCACAGCTACTGGCCACAATAACTTACCACAACCACACAACTACTGACCACAACCAACCAACTACTGACCACAACAATGCAACTACTGACCACAACTCCGGACTACAAAACCACCGACCACAACTACTGAACCATAACTACTGAACCACAATTACTGACAGCAAAACTACTGACTACACAACTATTGACTACACAACTACTGAACCACACAACTACTGACCACAACCACACAACTACTGACCACAACTACTGCCCACAATTACTGACCACAACCACACAACTACTGACCACAACCAACCAACTACTGACCACACAACTACTGACCACAACAACACAACTAAAGACCATAACTACTGAACCACACCTACTTACCAAAACTACTGACCACAACTACTGAACACAACAACACAACTACTGACCACTACTACTGACCACACCTACTTACCAAAACTACTGACCACAACTACTGACATCAACTACTGACCACAAAGACACAACTCCTGACCACAACCATTGACCACACAACTACTGACCTAACCTACTGACCACAACAACACAACTACTGACCATAACTACTGACCATAACTACTCACCACAACTACTGACCACAACCACACAACTACTGACCACAACTACTGAACCACACAACTACTGACCACTACTACTGACCACAACTACTGACCAAAACTACTGACCACTACTGACTAGGGATGGGCATTTGAAATGATTTCACTATTCAAATCATATAATTAAAGTCAAACTTTTAAAACTTTTTCCACTACCACAAAAATAATTTTAAAGAGATTTAGCAAGCCCCAGAACATTACTTGTAAAGTTACCATCTAGTTGGTAATAATTAACAATAATAATAATTAAATTCAGCTATCCACATGTCATATAATTATTACTGTTGCTATTATTGTTAAAATATCATAGTTATGTTTTGTTGATGTTGTTATTGTACTATCAACTGTAACCAAGTAATAGCTCATAAACATTTAACAGCATTAAAATGGACTTTGAAAGTGTGTCTTAACCACATTCCAGACACTTTTTAAAATCAGGTTTGCCAATCAACAAACTGATGGATCTGGCAGGAGAATGTGTTCAGTCTGTGTCCTTGTACCCTCCTGGCATGCCATAGAGTGCATACCAAACATGTAAACAAAGAGCTTACTGGGCATGTTGTCTGGCAGCTGGGTCATTGTCATCGCCTATTGGTCAGTGCAGGGTTTTCTGCAACTGCAATCAAAAGGGGTATTCAGCAGGGCTTAGGAGAGTCCACTGTGGTCAGCAGGAATATAATTGGACGA